GGGGGGGGGGGGAGGTGCATTCACAGGTGTTCACAGAGAGACCTGCCTCACCTCCCACATTTGTGCCAGGCATGGGCTCAGCACCTTTGGGGGGACTGGGGGCAGAGGCAGCTGAATTTAGTCTTATGCTCTTCTGAGGGTTTGCTCTATTTTGGGGGGGAGGAGAGGTATAGCAACTACGTGTTCCTCCCAACCCCTGTACCGGCTCACATCTGGCTGGGGAGATCACCTAGAAGGTACCTCATCCCCAGAATTCAAAGAAAAACAATCTTCCCATAAACCAATAAAACAAAATGAGAATTTTTTTTTAAAATTACTTCTAAAACAGCCTTAGATCTCCAGTGACTCTCTCTGTAGAGGATGTTCCGCCCAGAAAGATGTTCAGCCCCAAGCAGTGGTCCACTGGAATAGGACTGGGCAAGTTACCCAACCACTTCTAGCCTCTGTGACCTCATCTGTAACATGAGGTCAGTAATACTCCCTTTTGTGATTGTTCCTGAGGAGTAAATGTAAAGTGCTTGGCCCTGTGCCTGAGGCCCCATGGACTTGAGCGCCTGCCCCATTACCTGTGTAATCACAGAGCATAGACCTATCCCCATCTAACCCAAGGAACCTTATTCATTGCACATGCGCAGCATGACCCCAGAGTCCCGTGCTTGCTGGTTCACTCACTTTACACATGAAATGGGCTCAGAATGGCCAAGTAACTTGCCCCCGGGTGACTCAGCCAGAAAGTGGCAGGAAAAAGACTCAAACCGAGCCTTGTCAGTAGAATCTAAGTCCTTAACTAACATTCTGTCCTGCCAACTTGTTAAAAGTTATTACGGTCCTGGGATCCACAGGTCTCGGTGAGGTGTGTGAGGACCTCCAGTATAGGGAGAAAGGAAAAGAGGGCTACATAAGACTCTCGGGAAAGGTATAAGCAGGAGACAAAGTAAAGGGACAGGCAGAGAAAAAGTTCCCAGCCAAGGGGTTTGAGACAAGACACTTTCAGTTCCAGCAAGATGAAAAATCAGTGGACCCTGGAAATCCTCCCTGAAAACTTACCTAAAACTACTAGGGGAAATGTAACCACTATTGCTTTAACTCAATGGCTGAGCTGGCAAAAAAGAAAGGGGGAAAACACAGGTGCCAGAAATGGAAAACAGGAGCAGTGATGGAATAAGCCACTGAAGTGTGGGTGGGAATGGCTCATGAGGTGTTACCCCGGGAACCCAGAGTATGGGTTTTCATCCACTCTCAAGTTAGGTAATGAGGCCTTGGTCCCAAGCAAAGAGATTTAGAACTGAGAGGCCTGCCTAAAGCCAGCACCCTGCAAAGACTACAGTACATCCTTAGGGGAAAGACAGAGAGCATACCTTCGCCACCTGGAGGAATGAGAAAGCATGCTCATCTCTGCCTGAGCTCTGAATGGACAAAAACAAAAAAGACCACCTTGAAAAACAGAAATCTTGAGCCTGGACTTTATACAGATTTGGTTTGAATTTTTACCACCTTCAGCCTAGAGAACATAATGCCTGAGAATTAGCATGAAAATTGATCCCAATTTGATGATGTTCTGATGATATCCATGGGACTCCAGACAGAATCAAATGCAAAAATCCCAATCAAAGCCTAAAGATATTCTCACAGGGTGGGCATGGCAGGGTGCAGGTGCCTTGTCAAAAATGAACTCACTGTTCAAAACTACAAAGCATCTTATTTTAAAGTCCCCAAGAGTAAGAATCAAGAATCAGCAAACATAACAAATGGGAGGATTGGAATGCTGAAAATATAAGATAACTGAAGAGCTGTCAGAAAATAGGAAATATACTTAAAAATTATTAGACATAAATAAGAGCCATAAGAAAAGAATAGACATTATGAGGACTGAATAGATAGGTCTCTTTTTTAAATTTTTAAGTAGATTTGAGAGAGAGAGGGCAAGGAAGAAAGAGAGAAACACAGATTTGTTGTTCTACATATTTATGCATTCATTGGTTGATTCTTGTACGTAGCCTGACCATGGATCAAGCCCGCAACCTTGGCAGACAACGCTCCAACCAACTGAACTACCTGGCCAGGGCTAAACAGATCTTTTTTAAAATAGAAAATATAATACCTAGAATTAAACCTACAGGATTGGACAAAAGTAAGTTTACAGTTGTTCGAATGGAAAATCCAATAATTAATAAGTAATAATACAAGAATAAACTGTTTTGCATACTCACAACTGTAAACCTACTTTTGCCACACCTGGCATAGTTACTGAAATAAAAATGTCAATAGAAGGGTTAAAAAGCATATCAGACAAAGCTGGAGACTTAGTGAACCGAAAGATGTGGGAAAATTACCCAGAACATAGCACCGAGAGGTAAAGAGAGAAAATATGAAAGAAGTTGAGAAAGAGAATATGGTATAATAAAGTCCATCATAAGTCTAACAGGAGTTCCAGAAGAGATTCAAGAAAATGCAGAAGAAGAAATATCAAAAGTGATAAATCACTGAGAACCCTCCAGATTGAATGAGTGACATCACTAAATGTGGCAGAGTAAGGAACTCTAAAACTCTGTTCCTCCATTAAAGCAATGACTAGGCTGTCAAAACTGTCAGAATCAACTTTTTCAGAACTCTAGAATCTAATTTTTTTTTTTAAACTTATAATAACCAGGGGAATAATTAAAGAAGAAATCAGCTGTTGAATTTTGGTAAGAGAATGTTGTAGCATTTTAACTCACATGCCTGCCATCCCTCACTCGCCACCTTCTCAGTGGCCATGAAGACAACAGCTCACATTCCTGGCCACATTCCTTGTTGGTGGCAAAGGGAACAATGCAGACCTTGTTCTCAAATACTTATGGTTGTGTGTTTTGGCCTGTCTGATGCCTCCCTGAGGGGTTGACCCAGGGGCTTGCCTTTGTTTCATCTGCCTCAGAGCTTTCTCAGGGCTGACAAAGCCTCCTGTATAGAATTTGTCAAAAACATTTATAGGCAAATATCCTAACTCACCACAGCCACCTGGGACAAGGGAGAACAAATGAGGCAAGCCACAGACAGACTAGAAGCTTGGGAAGGAGATATATGGGGGAACAACAGCTTTGAAAATCTTCCCCCTATATCAGGGAATCTAGAAGGCCATGCACATGCCTAGGGCTAGATGCATTCTCAGAAAAGACCCTAAGCTTTCACCTCTGGCTGACCTTTAGGCTCTGCTCAAGCAACAAGTGAAAACTAAGAGTTGCACACAGCCTGAACAAGTGTTGAAGGAGCGCCGCAACACAGAGCCAATCTGCAAAGAATGGTAGAGTATTTTTGTTTGTTTGTTTCCAGGTATCTAAGGAAATGTCTGTCAAATCACTACCTGATATTTAAGCTAATGAAACAGAAACTTCAGTGGCCACATAAAAGTAATAATAGTTTTTTAAAAGAATAGTTTAGAAAAAATCACTAAACCTACACATGATTGCAACACACAACAAGCTGCAACAACCAACCTGGGGAGGAAGTAGAATCTGTTTTCACAGTAAGTACATTATAATACTCAAAATGCCCAGTTTTCAAAGAATTATAAGGCATGTAAAAACAAAACACAAAAAAAACACAGAGTGTGGCCCAGTCACAGAAAAAATCCCTGAAGATGCCCAGATATTAGACTTACTAGACAAAGACTTTAACTGTCTTGAAAATGCTCAAAGAACTAGAGGAAACCAAAAGAACAATTCATGAACAAATGGATAATATCAGTAAAGAAAAATTATAAAAAGGAACCAAACAGAAATTCTGGAGCTAAAAAGTAATATAACTCAAGTGAAAAATTCACTAGAATGGCTTAACATCACATTGAGCAGGCAGAAGAATGAATCAGGGAACTTGAAGATAGTTCAATTAAGATTATCCAATGTGAGGAATAGAAAAAAAAATAAAGAAAAAACGAACAGACCCTAAGAGACCTTTGGGACACCATCAAGCATACTAACATTCAGAATCCCAAAAGGAGAAGAAAGGAAAGGGCCAAAAGAATATTTGAAAAAACTTTCCAAATTTGATAAATGATATAAATCTACACATCCAAAAAGTACCAAGTAGAGCCTGGCCAGTCGTGGCTCAGCAGTTGAGCATTGACCTGGGAGATCACAGTACAGTTCCCAGTCAGGGCACATGCCCTGGTTGCAGGCTCGATCCCCAATCAGGCATGCAGGAGGCAGCCAATCAATGATTACTCTCTCATCATTGATGTTTCTTCCTCTCTCTCTCTCCCTCTCCCTCTCTGAAATCTATAAAGATATATATTTTTAAAAAAGAGAAAACCCCCAAAATATGGAGAAATATACCACACTCATAGATGTAAAGAGTTATTACTATCATAAAGATGGCAATTTACTTCCAAAGTAATCTATAAACTAAATGAGATTTCATCCTAACAGAGGTTGTTCATGGACCTTTACAAGGTAATTCAAAAATTGTTATGGAAGATTTAAAAGAATTCCAAGGATGGACTCACCCAATGAGATATCTGAATTGCTATAAAGCTTTGGTACTAGCTCAGGATTGACAAAAAAAGACTAATGAAATTCTTATGGTATGAATGCTTATTAACCCCCAAATTTCGTATGCTGAATCCTAACCTCCCAGTGTGGCTATAATTGCGGGTGGAGCCTGTAGAATAGTAAATGAGCCCTGGCCGGTTTGGCTCAGTGGTTAGAGGGTCAGCCCGAGGGCTGAAGTGTCTTGGGTTCGATTCTGGTCAAGGGCACATACCTCGGTTTCGGGCTCAATCCCTGGCCCCAGTCAGGGAGTGTTCTGGAAGCAACCAATGGACGTGTGTCTCTCAAATCGATGTTTCTCTCTCTCTCTCCCCCTTCCACTCTCTGTGAAAAACAATGGAAAAAAATATCCTCTGGTGAGAATTTTTAAAAAAGGTTAAAAAAGAAAAGACTAAATGAGGTCATAAGGGTGGGGCCTCATCCAACTGAATTAGAGTCCGGACTGGAAAAGACAACACAAAGCTCTCTCTCCTCTCCCTCTCTCCCCCACCCCCACCTTGCACACCATTGAAAGGCCTTGTGAAGACAAAGAGAGAAGGCAGCCATCTACAAACAAGGAGGAGAGGCCTTACCAGAAATTAAGTTCGCTGGCACCTTGATCATGAACTTCTAGCCTTCAGAACTGTGAGAAAATAAAAATCTGTTGTTTAAGCCACCTAGTCTGTGGTGTTTTGTTATGGCAGCCTGAGCAAACTAAGGCTGGAATGAAAAGGAGAATTCAGAAATAGACCTACATACATTTGGCAACTTGGTATATGACAAAGGTGGTATTATAAAACAGTTGAATGCAATATTTAATAAACCTACTTACATTCTTATGTATCCAATTAAAATTTAAAATTTACAACAGAAGACATAAAAAACAATTTTTTTTAAACAAGCCAATAGAAAAATGGGACAAGAGATATGAATTGGCAGGAAACTCAAATGCCTAAAACATGTTTTAAAAATGCTTCCTTAGTAACCAGCACCCTGACAACTTAAAGCAACAATGAGGTACCACTTCTGACTCTTCAGATTGGCAAAATTAAATAATAAGCCTGGTAATCCTGGGTGTTGGCAAGGACATGGGAAATGAAAGCCCCTGTACACTGTTGGCGTGAGTGGGAATCGGCAGGAGCACTTTCGAGAGAAACTTGGCAATACCTAGCCAAGGAGAAGATGTGCACAGGAGTCACAGACGAGAGCATTCACCGTAGCAGAATTTGTAATAATTTTCTAGAAGTAGAAACAACCTGCCCTGGGTGGTGTGGCTCAGCTAGTTGGAGAGTCGTCTTGTACACCAAAGGGTTTCAGATTCGATTTCCTGTTGGGTCACGTATGGAAGGCAACCAACCGATGTTTCTCATACTCCCCGCCCCTAAAATCAATAAGCATATCCTCAGGTGAGGATCAAAAAGTAAATAAATAAAAATAAAGTAGAAACAACCTGATTCTCTAGTTTGGTTTTTTCATATAGTAGGATACACCAGTTAAAATTAATGAATCCAATGTATATTGTCAAAATGGATCTCAAAAACTTTGTTAAATTTAAAAAGAGCTAGAAGATATCTTTTACTTAAATTAAAATGTTTGAAACACACAAAATGGTATATATTATTTATGAGCATATCATATGAAGTAAAAATACCAATACACACTTGGAAAATCTACCCATCAACTTCCAATACATGGTTGCCTCGGGGAGCGGGGCAGAAAAAATGATGGAATGGTGAGACAAGCTCACTCCACAAAGTTTTACTTCTGTTCTGTTTGTTTGTTTTTAAAGAGACATGAAGCAAATATTGCAAGACATTAACATCTATTTAATCTCAGTGGTTCATGGCTGGTAGAAGTGGGAGTGGAGATAGGATGTTTTATTTTATGTTTGTTTGAGCTGTATTCAAATTCAGAACACTGAAAAGGAAGAGGCCTGTGACAGAGTGTTCAGGGAAGGACAATCCACAGAAAACGGCATCCTAGAAACCAAGGGGGAGGATGGGTGTCACCCAGTGCTGCAGCTTCGGCTCCTGCCTCAGGATTAAGGAGCACACGACTCTGTGCTAGTGTCACCCCAGGAGCAATGCGGGAGGAAGCGGCTTGCTGTGGCCATAGTCTGGCCAACTCTCACAAGTTTGGCTGTGCCTGGGAGTGACAGTGGGTGATACTTGAGGGGAGGGCAGCAAGGAAGGCAGCCCTTTGGCCCACTTTGGGAACCTCAGGACCTTGTCATTAGGGTAACGGGAAACAAGTATGGGGCAAGGGCAAGACTGAAGGCACAAGGGATGGGAAAGAGGTTGGATTATAGAGGAGGTGGTGCAGACTTGCAGGGAGGGAAGGGTGGGTCTGGGAAATAAGGTGGGGGGGGTCGGGGAGCGCAGGGGGTGAAGAGGCAGCTGCCAGGGTCCCAGTAAGGGGGCAGGAGTCCAACGGAGGAGCCTCCTGCCAGTAACACAGCCTGTCCCAGATCCAGAACAGGGAACTGGTCCTGAGAGCAGAAAGATAATTGGGGTGATATTCAAGAGAGACATCATTATTTGGATAGTTGTGCATTTATATAAATGAGTATTAGCTGGGGGGGGGGGCATCACTAGCCATTAAATGTGTGATTTCACAGATGAGATGGTAGCGGAGGGAGCCACAAAAGGCAGTTAAGCATGCTGGGCTTTGGGTCTCGACTCAAAGAGCCCAGCTGAGGGGCCACAAGCATATCCACCTAGCCAGGTGTATATTTATCTTTATATATATAAAATAGATACACACACACATATATATATACACACACACACATACTTGTAACATATATATAATAAATTAGGCAGAAGTTTGAAAATCATTCTCTTTGGAGGAAGCTATGCCAGGTCGGGTGTCAAAAGGGCCTCGGCCCTGTTTCAGGCTGACAGTCATCTCTCCCATGCTTTCAGGACCTTCTCAATGACCTATTTGCCACTGGTTTCCTGGTGGGGGCAGTGGTCTTCGCTGTGAAAATTCGATCAACCATGCCAATGAACTACTTTATTGCTGTGGTGAGTCTCCCATGTTGGGCTGTTTATTTGCTCAGAAATCACCTCTTTTGGAGTACAGGTGTTTCCCCCCATTTGAAGGCCAGGGCTTCTTTTCTTTTCACAGAATCTTGAGACCCAAGCAAGGTTTGAAAGTCAAGTTGATAAATGTTCCCAGTGGAGAAGGCATTTAAATAAAGATGATTTTTAGGGAGCCAGCCAAGCTGCTGACCCAGAGGCAAAAGGCCCCACCCAGGCCGGGTTTAAAGAGAGAAAGAAGTGGTGGGATGACGGGATGACAGTGCGGTGGGGGAGGGAAAGTCAGTCTCTGGGGTCTGGCCCTTTGCGGGGACAAGGGGGGTGTGTTTACAAATTAGAAACCAGGAAGGAAATATGCCAACTTCGGGACAAAAAGCGGAAGTCACAAGACTCCTTTTGTTTTCCAGGTCCTTATTGGTGTGGCTGCATTTTTTCCTTTAGTCGATATATGTTTTCAAAGAAAACACTTCAGAGGCAAGACGGTCAAAAGAAATGTGCTGGTTCCTCCACCAAAGGCAGATGCGCCTCCTGCAAAGCCAAAGGAAGAGGGAAAGGCACCTCCAAAGGGAAAGGAAGCAGCAAAGCCAAAGCCAGCGAAGGGAGGCAAGAAATGACACCTACGAGACACCCATTATCAGAAGAGGCAGTGTTTTTTACAACAAAGTATAGTCCCACTGTCTTCCTTGTCTTCTTTCCCAATGATTTTCTTTTCCACTTAAATAACCACCTGTGCTTGGAAAAGAAATTCTCTCTAAATGGAGTTTTTGTTCATTCAATCAAAGTTACCAGAAGTTTTGGTGCAGAGAGTGAGGTCAGAGCTGGGCCTTTCAAGGGACTCAGGTGACAGGGCACAGAGGGCTTGGGGCACCAGAAGTGTGGGTGATACCGGCTGTCAACGCTGACCAGCCAGAGGGGCCAGAGGAAAAGGAGAGGCAGGAAAGCAAAAGGATGCGTTTTGTTGACGTTAATATTTTTATTTGATTTGTTGTTGTAAATCCTCACTCAAGGATATTTTTTCCATTGATCTCTAGAGAGAGTGGAAGGGAGGGAGGGGGAAAGAAACATCGATGTGAGAGAGACACATGGATTGGTTGCCTCCGCCACGTTCCCTCACCTGGGCCTGGGATTGACCTGCAACCCAGGTACGTGCTCTTGACCGGAATCATACCTGGGCCAATGCTCTATCACTGAGCCCCATGGGCCAGGGCTTTATTTGATGTTTTTTAAAAAGCATCTAGGTAGTTTCTAGGAAAGAAATAAGGTTGCTGCCCTTCCTGATTCTTACTTTGTTTAGTATTGGTCCTTGGGAGGAGGGAGATGGGTGGTGGCATCTCTTCAGGGCTCAGGGCCTCTGAGAGCCAGAATCAGGCTGGAGTGATCCAAGCTGGATGGGCACAGAAGGGACTGGGGGGATGGTTGCTGCAGAGATGGCCAGCCGGCCCTGTGGGACCTGTAGCATCTCTGTCCAGTGAAGACCTGAGCATAAGTCCTGAGCCAGTCTCAGCTGGGCCCCAGAGCCACGGTTCCCACACACAGGCCTCGGGTCAGGGCCTCATTCTCACTGGACAGTCCAGCCACCCTGGCAGGAGAAGAGTCATCCTCATAAAAGAAAAGTGAAGTCCCACATTGATGCATGAGAAGCTAGGAGGAGGCCTGTGTGTGTATGTGTGT